CTTCACAGAGTATGAAGGAAACAGAAGGTCACAGATTCTGGTGGTTAATGAGCTTATTGGTGATTACTTTAGACTATTATATTGGTTCATGCTCCAAGGTATCTTAGTGGCTGCCAGTATGATGCATGAATCTGTAGACTGACCATCTATTTAAACAAGAATAAATTTCCTTTTAATAGATCAACATAAATGTTGTGTAAAATAGGCTCTATTAATATAGGAAAAAATCCATTGTTGATAGTTTTTCATAATAATAATGGCATTTAAGTCATTATACAATAGTAGAAATAGTATACAAGAAATGCTTAATAGTGCATGATTACCATTTTTCAAAAAGCATTGTTTGCTAAGTAAAAGAAGCTGGTTACAAATACAGCTTTAAGGTGTGCTGACGAATGAAAGAAATGTTTGGCTCAGATGTTTGTTATAATTGCAGTGATAATTGATTTAATTGAAATGCTCCATTTCCTTCATTTTAGAAAAACCCAATGCATATACACTTTTGCTTAATTGATAGGAATGTGAAATTAGCCTTAAGTATAAATTCTCTTTTGTGAGGAAAGTAATTGTTAGCTTTCATCATCCTCATCGTCATCCTGTGAGTTGGATTAGGCTGAGAAGGGGTGACTGGCCCAGTCCAGCACTTTAACATTAAACAGCACCTGTATATGACTATGGCATCTCTGAAAGGATTAGCTGTATGTCTGATAAACTTGAATTTATTTAGAATTGTTTGCTGTGGTTCCTCCTGTCCAACAGAAGGCAATATTTCACATTCAGTCATGCCACAATACTCCACTTTCTATAATAGCTTCAATGACATCTTTCTACTTCCTGAATTTCTTCCCAACTTCTCTACCACCAGACTCTTCCTCTCTCACCTGTGTTTTGTAGGAGCCTTGTCTGTCTGTCTGTCTGTCATGCTTCTGCTGTCCTTTCTGTTCCTACAAGCCTTCCCTGCTTCTCAGGTGACATGCCCATTTTGAAAAAAGGTGAATACAGCAAGTGATTACAACAATAAAGCAAGTGATTACATGCATATATCTACAGTATGCATGTAATCAGTTGCATAGTAGATATTTGTAACATCCAGTCAAGTGGTGACAAACATTTTAGCATATATCTACACCCAGTGAAGATTGGGGAAGGAAGACAATGTAAGATGTTTTGACTTTTCAGATGACCAACTTATAACTACCACAATAAATCACCTCTTGGTAAATGGTTGCACTCACCAAATACTATGTTTGAGGACAAGTTGGTTTCACACTTTCTCCTCAAATTCTCCATCCAGTTACAATGCTTCTGTATATTGTGAGCTTTGTAATTCAGTTCTCCTTGAGGCATGCCATGACTGAAGGATACTGCCTTCTTTGACTGTCTTTGACTTTCTGGTTTTTAGTTGGTTTGGCTAATTATTTTGTGAAACATATTCCACCCTCAGAGGTGGTGCTACTGTAGTCAATCTCTCTCTCTCTCTCTCTGCGTGCGTGCGTGCGTTGCACTGAGAATTGGCTATCTTGGGGAACTTTAAAGTTAGTGTTGCAAAGACTGATGTGACTATTGCCAATATCCAAAAAGAGAGATGCATCCTCAGGTGTGGTTTCTTGTTTGCTGCTGGTAAACATTTTGTACTGCTCCTTGCCCTTCTTTTAGATTGCAGTGCCCTCATTTCTTGGCTTGGTCCCTGGCACTTGGAATTGTAAATATGTTCTGATTTTAAAATACCACTTTAAAGTCAAATATTAATAACAAAGTATTATTTAGGATATTTCTTGCAGCTGTACATTTGTCTGTATGTAATCTCCTGTGGTGCTTGTGTATATATTTCTGATAAGGTTCAGGTGTATTTGGGGCTCTTTTTTGGTGTAAATCAGTTGTTACTTGTTCTGCAGCAAACTCTGGCACAAAGCAGAAGCTTCATAAGATTCATGGGCTTTTGAAGGCACTGCCAAACAGTAGCTTGTGTACATGTTTCACCATTTTTTCTAGCTATTTTCAGTCTTTTGGGGGAGGGGATAGTAGCAGTTGGAATTAATGACAAACATTAAGAGGGAAGGTTAATTCAGTATTTTGTGTGTATTGCATTTTAACATTTAATAAACCCTGATGCCATATGTTAATCTTTGGTTCATTTAGAAATTCAAAACTATTTTTTATCTTGGTAGTATATCATTGCAAAGATTCTTCTGTCCAGGAGAAGAAGTAACAGCAAGAGAGAAAAAGAGCATAGATGCATAAGATCTAATGTCATTTGTACATAATATGTTCTCAGAATTCATGTACCTATTGTATGGAAAGATTTTGTGGCTTACAATATTCTACATAATTTTAATCTAGTTTAATTATGCAGGTGTGGTGCCATTTTGATTGGTATAAATAATGTGGCAAACCATAATGGGGTGCTGGGGGCAGCCTTAAAATGATGTAAACAGGCTCTCACGACCAGCATTGTCCTCTACATTCCTTCAAACAGCTCTAGAGTAAAGAGGCAACAGGTCAATGAGTTTTTTAATACAACTTTTATTAGATGGTGTGCTTTGTTCTGCACTATTCCAAAGCCTGAGGGCAGGTTACAACATGCGATACCTAGAAAACAGAAAGGTAAATTCTTAAAACACATCACTATGTAGGCTACTAAAATAAAATTATCTTTGTAGAAAAGCTCAGCGTTCATGGCGTATCATTCTTTCACCAAAATTAATCAACCAGGCTTCTTAGGGTAACAAGGGGTCAGAAACTGGGTTTAGACATGACACTGAGCTTTTTTACCCTAGTAGGCTTCCAGTTACTTTAACTGCTCCCACTTAGAAGAGGAGCTAAGTGGGAACAATCCACCATACTTATACAACAAGCTGCAATTCTCAATTATTTTGGCTTAACGTTTTGTGCAAATACAGCTGGAAGTTCTCTTAGTGCATTGTAGTCATTCAGGCTCTTGTCAGCAAAACTGAATCTTTCTTTTTATATATTTTAGTTAAACTCTTTTCACATTTCACTGTACTACAACCCAGCATAGCCCTGAGGGATGTGTGCCATTTGTGCTGGTATTGCAAAAACAAACAACCAGGGGAATGTCTCATCAAAGTGTGTTTCATTTGGAAATTGTGTTATATTAGGGAGAATGCTGCTGGTTTGCTTTTCTTTGCAGGCCACCACGTTTCTTATCTTACAGTTCTCTAGCACACGGCAGGCTTTCCGAGTAGAACTTGACTCCTGCAAACTGATGCAGTTATAGGACATAGTCCATTGAAAGAATGAGTACGTGGGCTGAAGGAGAAAAGAAAGCACTTGTATAGGGTTGTTAAATGGTGCTAGGGTTCATCATGCACTGTGCCTTTGATTTTTTTTTCCCCCGTTACCATCTAGACTTGGCCACAAGCAGGCAAATAGCTGTGGTTAACATGGTAACACTGAGCATGTGCAAGTGTGCACTGTTAGCAATACACCTGCATCAGATTGCAGAAGGCATTTTAATTCAGCATTCATTGCTGTCGCTCCTTATAACGGGTATTGCGACGTTATGGACCATATCTTGAGAAGCATGGTCGTCCAAAACATCAGCTGATGTAGCCAGATGGACTGGTGATCCATAAGATGAGACACCTCCATGGTTTAATTGGGGATATCTGAGATCTTGCATAGGACAAGCAACCCCTCCTCACACTCATCACATTTTTCCTCATCTGTTCAACCTATTTCACTCCCACTGTAACATTGGGTCAGGGATATATCTTTCAGCATATTCACAGAAGAAGTGATAAAATGAAAAGAAGACAGAATGATTAAGTGCTTAAAAATAAAAATGAGAGCAAATTTCACACACTGGAGTTGCTTTGCACTCTGTTTCTATATAACATGAGTGTACATTTCTGAAACATTACTTTGGCAATTTGCTCCACAGATCTTCATTCGCTGATGTCTGAAGTAATTTATTTCTTACCTTCCCCCATCTGCTTAGGGACACAGTCTTCCTTTATTATCAATCAGTTCCCATAACATGAAGTCCATCTCCAGTGGGACATAGTGCTACAAAAAGTGGTAGCAAGGAGAATCCCTTCATCTAATTTTCCTTCTGTCAGAGAAACAATGATATGCAGCAGTTTTAAGGGTCTCTCTCCAAAATGCAAAATGCCCTTTAGGCTTCCCTTCTGAGCTTTAAAGTGCTTTCTCATTTGCATTTTCATCACCATTAATGCCAGGGAAAAACTCTCTCTGTTCCCTAGCTGTCCATTCACCTCTCTGTATCCAGAAATACTTAGCGCTGCATTCACTGTGAATCTGCTGCACTCTGTATGAACAGGACTAGCTGATGATCTCTGCATGTAATGATGCAGACTGGACTTCACAGCAAACTTGGGGGGGTGAGGAGGGCTCCAGTAGCATCCATATTTATAACTGACCCTGGTTACACATAAAACCTTATCGTCCTTTGTTCTCTTGTTTTTGCCTAAGCCTTTTGTGAAGAAGGCAAAGGGGGGGTGGGGAGCAAGCTTGCATGTTAAAAAGTGTCTGGACACAGCTATTTATCTACCCCGTTCTCCACTACTGTTCCGATTGGTCTGATAAATTTGACACGCCGGTCGCGTCAAAAGGTAATATCCTTGGCTTAATTGTAAGCTAAATCTCTTAATCCAGGAGAGCGCTTGAGATTCTATCCAAGTGCTCAATTTCCCAGGCCGCTGAGGTCTGTGAATTTCTTTCTCCAGCCTCCAGGCTGCTGCAGCACAAGTCAGCATAGCTAATGCAGATAGATCTCCTCCCCCCTCCATGCACTCTTTCTCTCTCTTTCCCCTCCTTTCTCCAAATCCCCCCCACCCCCCACGCTGTGCTTTGATTCGATATGAACAGACTGGCAACTCCGATGCTAGAGCAAAATCTGACATAACTCTGCAGATGGCTACGTTCAGATGATACACCTAGGATTTTTTTCTCCTTTAAAGAAGGTAAAGATTTATATGCTAATAACATTTTCCCCTTTGTTGTCATTTTCTTTCCAGGACTGCCAGCCCCAAAGAAGAGTCCAAAGTCGGTAAGCACTTTTCAGCACCTATACCTGTTTGATTATTTTTGTCTGGGGCAAGGGTGGGCGTTTCTCGGAATGTGAGGAAAGATACTTAGAGGAAGCTTGTTCCATGGAGCTTGCCTCTGTGCCCTTCCTTTCCAACCCCACCCCAGTCGTTCTGTCTGAAAGTTGCTGGATGCTGTTCTGTGGCTGCGCTAATTGCTTTGCGTGGATTGTTCTGAATTCTGCGAGTCTGGAAGAATGCAGGGTAGAAGGTGTTCGGCAAGAGAGTTGGAAGGAGTGAGTGCTCGGATGGAATTCAGCTGAGTGACTAACACATTTCTACTTCTGCTGGATGGAGCTTACCCGTATTTCACTTACCCTTTAAAATGCCATTGTTTCCTTATTGTATGATTGTGTGAGGCTCCACCTCCTTTTCGGAAAGCATTCCCTATCAGTGAGGTAAAAAGCCAGTTTTGAGCTTTATAATGCGCTATATGATGAATAATTGGGGGTGGGGGTGTCCTGAAGCTTCCTTCCGAACATCAGCAACAGAGAGGAACCTTCTATAACACAAAAAGGTATCATCATAGTTCCCTGTGGCTACATTTAGCTGCCTGAGCATTGCAAGACTGATTTTTTTTTAAGCTGTGGAGAGCATCCTTTGTTGTATAGCTTGGCTTTAGCAGCATTGTGCTGCAGGTATTGCCTTTTTAGAGGAGAAAGTGCTGGGTGTGGGGGAGGTCAGTATTATCCTGTCCTTGCTAATCTTATATGGATTACCTGGTTGATGTATTTGCTAATAGCTTGGAGGTTACCTGGTTGATGTGTTTACTAATAGCTTGGAGGTTATTGCTTAGAAGTATAATTAAAACAGAATTTTGCCACACTGGAGAGCTATATAAATTGCCAGGTATTAGAGGAGTTACCTTTCCATAGAGGTAAAGTTGCACCCATGTGTTTGAAGGACAGGAGAAGAAAGGGGGGCTGCTGATATCCAGCCCATTTTGAGAAAATAAGAGATTACAGTAATGCAAATTGCTGCAAAACTTTGCCAATACTCCATTCTGGTGCTCCACCTTTATGAGGGCCCACCTTCCAGTGAAGAGTAGGAAGACAAGCAGAATCTCTTCCTGCTCTCCGTACAAGTTTCTCGGCTCATGGAAAAGAAATCCCTGAAATAATTAATGTGGTTCTGCTGGCTTAGGGCCGTGCTGATTAAAGTCACATGACCTCGGGCCTCCACTCTTGTCAGTTTGCATTAACGTTGGAAAAGGCGGAGAAGGCTGTTTGCACTCAGCCTCAAATCCTACAAATGTCCAACCGTGTGGGTTTACTTCTGTGTCACCACTGGGGAGGAATTTGGCCTCTGGTTAAAATAGAAGCAAGTGTGTAAGACACATGCAAGCATACCGGCCTTACTGGAGGCAGGGAGAAGGACAGGTAGCCATTGACTTTCCAGCAGAGGGGGAAAACTGATTTTCAGTCTGCTTTTCCCCCTCACCTCACCACCCCTGCTAACTAAGTCAGATCTGATGAATGGATGTAAAAGGATGATTTGAGAAAAGGCAAACCTCTAGCTTCGCTGCGATCAAAAAAAAAAAAAAAAGAAAGAAAAAATCACAATGAATTAGGAGTTGAAATGAACACTCTTTCACCAAAAGATGATTTGCTGAAGATTTGAAATCTTGTGTGTTAAACCTAAATCCATTTAGAGATAATCTTGCCCTACTGAACAAAGAAACTGTTTACAAACAGGTGTCATTCTAGAGCCCTTTCCCTCTCTTCCCTCCTGACCACTGAATACTTTTTCCTTTCTTTTAGCCTTCCACAGAATTATCTCAGGAGACGGTCAGTTTAGTATAGGGAGGCTGAATCCTTACACATTGCATCGCTAAAAGCCTGTGCCCATGCCTTGTTTTCTTCAGTTCCTTCAAAATACTGTTAGCCACTGTATCACTTCCCATCCTTTGCTAGAAGAGGAGAAATACACAGAAAATGCATTTGTTCTCATTGAAAAATGCTTTCAACAGGGCAGTTTGTCAACTAATATTACCATAGCACTGTTGTTTGTTTTTAAATAATAGAAAAGCTGATACATTGCATATGACGATATAATCTTGCTCTAGGAAAAGGTCCATGACCGCAATACCTGTGGCATTTTTCTTATTATCACTGAAGATGAAAGCATTTTCTCTCTATCACTGAACATAAAAGCTTGCACAATTTAGACTGCCAACTGTTTTTTAAGAAACAGGAGAACAGAATTGAAAGTTCTATGTATGCACAGTGCTAAAAGCTATAAGTAGATTGGTTTGTTTCTGTAGACACTGAATTCCTAGTGCCAATCAAAATTGGAATTTCCTGAATCCAGTTCTTGAAAATGACATGCAGGACTTTCGATGGCTGTTGCTGCTGAGTGAACCCACCCTAAAGGTTGACAGCTTAGTGTGATGGCAGTGGCCATGGGAATGCCAAGTATCAGCCCTTTAAGCCCCCAGAGACTGCTTACAGGGTCTTCTGGTAGTGTTCATTTTTCTCTTCCACCTTTCTGTTACTTTTTCCCCCTAGGAGTCACTTAAAATACTAATTATTTCTTGATCAATAATAGATTAGCTGCTGTTGTAGGAGCAACGTACAGCCAACCCTTGCAGCATTGAATGAGGGAGGAGAAACCTTAATTTATTTCTCAGCTCTTTGAATTAAAGTCAGAAGAAAGTTCCTTCAACTTGACCATCCATTTGCTTTCGCAGGTAATGAGTGCCAGGCCTGCTGGTGCAGGTAGCAAATAATGACTTTATATTATGAGGTTAATATGCAGCGCATTGGGATGGCCTTCTCCAAACTGTTGCCCCTCACATGTTTTGGACTGCTAATCTCATCAGCCCCAACCGGTATGATCAATGCTAAGGGATGATAGGAGTTGTGATCCAAAACACTTGACAGCTGCCAAGTTGGGGAAGTTGGTCAATCTGTTAACTGTCTCATGTGAGGAATCAGTTCCATATTGTGACTCCCCACATGCAGCTCTAACTCATATTCTGTTTGATGTGGACACTCCTAATTGTTGGAGACCCTTCTCCAGACTGGGACTGACACCTCTGAGAACCTTCAGAGCAGCCATGAAAATTCTCCATCTTGATATATTGTATAACTGGTCATGTGCAATTTTTGCGCATGGATCAGATATATGGCAGCATGGTTCCCTTTTTGATATAAATCAGATAAAATTTGTACACCATCACTTGGTAACATGGCTTCCAGGTCTAGTATTAGGAAACTGTTTATCTTCTTTTTTGGAAGACCTGAACAGTTGTAAGAAAGTACAAGCCACCACGGACACAGGACTAGAGACCAGAAGAAGAAGTTACTTGTCGGAAGAAAAGTTATATGGAACCAGCTGATCAGAGAAGGAAGATCCCCATAGAATTCCTATTGCCTCCAGTCTTTGAACTGAACCTGCTTGCAAACCAGATTTGGAATGGCTCACTGCCATTGGTAGTGAGTGCAAAGCATTCCCCATATCTCCTGTGCTTTCATTGTTAATGAGAATTGTATGTCCATGCACAGCTGCTTTAAAAAGTCAAATTACATAATATGGCAACACCCCTGGGTGTTTACATCTGTCCTTCTGTGCATTAACACTGGAAAAATCATGATTTAAGTCAGGGGCCATTTTATTGGTTTAAAGGCAACATGAATGGCAGAAACATACAGGAATATACATTTCCAGAAAAAAATCACAGCGTGTTATCCCATCTACCACTTAAGTAGCAAGATTTTAATAGTTATTTCACAGTTGGTTTATCTTAAAACTTTTTTAATGAATCAAGGTTAGTAGTATGGGTTGACGCATCTAAAAGCAACAGAGTAAGTTCCCATCTTAATACAGTATGCAAGCTGTTTCTCCAAATTTTAATCAATATATTGCATATATTATTTGTGCATGTGCTGTTCATCTATCTCAGTGCAGAGGTTGAGTGCCAGTGGAGCATAATGAACTGGGGAGTTCTGGTTTCAATTCCCACTTAGCCATGAAGCTCACCGAGTAACTTCACCCCGGTCACTGACCTTCATCGTAAGCTACCTCATAGGGATGTTGTGAAAATAACATGAAGAGGGGGAAGATTATGATGCTCCTTAGCAGAAAAGGCAGGATATACATGTAACAAATAAATAAAGGCATGATTGTTGTACTTATCTTTAAGGGCCAGGGCTGCAGAGCCACATCTGATCTGTTGTGGAATTCCCATTTGTGTCAGTAGTTAATTCCCAGCTGCTGGGTTCCAAAATAATGGCAAGAGCACATCCCACAGCTATTCAGCTATCTTGGTTTTCCATAAAGGAATGATAGGGAAAGGTTTTTGCTGCCGATTTGACACCCCAGCAGGTGCAATCTAGATGTTTACCATGCTTTGCAGCAATTCCAACATAGAAAGAAAGAGAGAGGGTACAGAGCCAAGACAAACAAAAAGGAGTGCCCCATGCACAGCTAGTAATTGGGTGGAAAATGCTGTTTAAAGAGGGTTGCTGCATTATCAGCTTCATGGCTAGGTTCTAGTAAGAGACGCAGGTGTGTAAGGAAGCTTATTTTTCTTAACTTCTTCCCTCCTAAAACACTTCTATGCTCAAGACATTTATCATGTTGAACATGTCCTTCATTCAAATCTTGTCACCCTAAGTGCAATCACTTGAACAGCTCATATAATGACCCAATCCTCGTATGTCCCCTTGCTGCTGTGAGCACCTCAGCTTCACCAAGTTTTTCTTAATAGCAGCATGCTCACAATGCACCAGATTAGGCAGTCACTTCTTTGACTCAATTATTTGCTGCAAACCTGTAGGGTAGATCTGTTTTAGGGTTTCAGATTACATATAGACAAGCATTAGAGATTTGGTTCTAGTGTAGCTGCCTCTGTTTTTTAATTTGGTAAAAATCTCCATTGCTCTAGCTCACACTATTAGCATTTTTTCTCTAAGAATATGCATTATACACTTGGGCATCATCAATATGAAATAAAGCCTTC